AAATGTTCGTAGAAGTACCTTATATATAATGATCAATTATGAAAATTGACTCAGGGGCGGACCTAGGCAGGCGCCCGTAGGGGCACGGGCCCCTGTGCAATTTAAAAAAAAATATTATATATATAATTATATTGTAAAATAATTACAAGAGATTTTTTTAATAAAAAATTTAAGTTGTTTGCATTTGGTATTTATATTATGTTGTAGGCAACATATATAAATGAGTTAAATGGATTTTCTACAAAAATCAACATTGATTTTGATACATATTGGATTTAGGTGTTCTTAAAATTATAATTATAAGTTTAAATTAGCTATTAAATTGTGTTTTTATTGATTTTTAAGTAATAAATATTTATCTTTATTATAAAAAAAAGTCTGCGAATGCTGACGTTGTAAGAATATCCAGTGCAAAAGAAAAACAATTTGGTATTTGAAAAAAATATATTTAATGAGATTTGAATTTGTTTAATTATTAGTGATATAAATATAAGAACATGGAGATAATAAATATCATTTTTTTTGGCACTTTGTAAAAGGTTATGTTTGTGCCCCTTAAGTCTTGCGAGTCTGCGTCCATCCCTGGTTTGACTATATGTTTGGCTAAAGCATTTCTAAGTGTTGAATAAAGCAAACTTTTTACTAAATTAATTAAGAAGAATTTTGCAATACTGTTGATGTATTGAACTCCAATGAGTATGAATGTTTCTTATGAGAACTCAAAACTAAAATGAAAAAAATCACTCTTGAACCATATAGATAGATAGATAAAAATACTCATGCATTTATAATATACATTAGATCTTTATTTAGTTATTTCGTTTTTTGTTTTGTTTATTAGGGACTCTTTTTTTTTTTTCTTTTGATATATTTTTGTTGAGTTTGTAACATGTCATTTAAATCACTTTATATTACGATATCATTATGTTATTTTTGGAAAAAAATATATTAGGAGTTTATTTGTTCTATATTTTATTTTGTTCTTACACTCATATGTTTAATTAATTAATTAATTTATCTTATCGGCCAAAAGTATTTGTCACCACGTGCATCGCACGTGCACTTTACTAGTAATAGAAAAAGGCAATTGGATTAGCAAAGAAAGATTAAACCAACGGGAGGAGAGGATATGTTTTATTCCACAAGTGAGGTTGAAATAGAGTGAGATACCTTAAGGGTCTCGACAAGAAAATGAATAAAGTGGGGATCCTCCAAAACTTCATGAGCTAAGTCATGATGTAGATTTGCGCAAAACAAAGTCCCATCATCTTTAGGATCAAAGATGTGAAGGAAATCCATACATTGTTGTGTTTTTGCAAAAAGGCGGGAATCATATTTTAAGTCATGGGCCAACTCGTCAATGAATAGTTCCTAAATAAATTATAAGAATAAAATTAATTTGACATTCATGTATATATATATATGTGTGTGTGTATTTACAAACTCTACAAACATCACTAGCTCATAATGATTATAGGTGATTAAAAGCACATTGGTGTTCTTTTTTTTTCGGGGGTGCTTATATCGCAAGAAATTGAGAAACTAAATGTAGTTATAGTAAAAGTTTTAAATCAATGAAAAATATTATGTGACCAAGTTCATTTATTGCATATGGTACAACGTGAATAATATTTTATTTGATGTTACGGAAAATAACTGCAACCATTCAACACTAAACAAAAATTAAGTTAAAGAAATAGGTATGTACATATTCAAGTTTCTGAATGGGAGTCCCATGCTCTAATAACCATGTGTTGTGTTCCTGGAATTTCAAAAAAAAAATAAAAAAATAAATAAGTAATGAATAAGGAAAAAAAAAAAGAATTAATAACAAATATTAAATGAAGGTAAAACTGAAGTCAGCACACACGGTTATTTAACTATATATATATATAAAGCAAAAACCACAAGTGTAAGACTACCTCCGACGAATCAAGCTCGATAATTTTAGGTTCATCTTCTGCAACTTTATGTCCACAATCTCCATCAAAACACATTAATTTTTCATCAAACCCCACAGGCAAAGGCAGCTTTTTATAACTCCAATACCCAAGTAAAACGATCAAAAATCTCCTTCACAAGAGAGAAACTATAGTCATTTAAGGCGGACGTAGATGTATAGCAGAACACTGAAATTAACAAACACAAGGAATCCCCTAGAAGAACAATGCACGTTCGTACAAATTCAAAGGTGCTTGAAAATGTTAAAATGGACTGAGAAAACACACTTAGGAGTATCTCACACACCCGCACAACAATACATAATTAGACGACCTTATCATTGTAGCAGGAGGCCTTTTGAGTTGGAGAATATCACTCAAGTTGTGATCTGCCTTGATACGGCACATACATTCTCCAATTTGTTCATTTCCCACTTCATTCGAAAGTTTGTCTATCATGTCGGGAACGATGCAATTCTGTAGGAATGCAAAAAATTGTCTGTTTCAACAATTGAATATTATGCATAAACCAAGTTTTCTAGTGATATCGACCAAGAGTTAAAAACAAAAACTAGAAAATAGACCTTGACAAGCACTAAATTAATCTTGGCATTGAAATACAAATTTCTCCATATTCTCATAACCAGAGCAAAATGCTCGAATGCAGAGTCATTAAATGTCCCATCCTCGAGAACCGTAGAAGCTTGGAGTGCCTCCAGAAGTTGCCGAGCCATTTTAACAACAAGCTCATCTTTGGCCAGTTCATCACACATATCGGTGATGAGTGGATCCTACACAAATTAAAGTCGGGTATTAATGGAAGTCCAGTCCAGTCCAGTGTGTCGCTATAAAGTATAAACAGAGATGAAAACTGAAATCATCACCACAGTGTATTGGAATCAGAAATAAAATTAAATACCGGAGCAAAGGCAATAGTGTGCAGAAGAACAAAAAAACTATATCAATTATAAACAATTAAACCTCTTGAAGGTGATAACATATAAAACAAAAAGATTTCAAATAAAAGATAGAGAGAAAAGAAGAGAGATTGGCGTACCGAAAGAAATCTAGAGGCGAGGGAGGCATCGAGCAGCCCTGTAATGGCCGGTCTCTTGGCATTTTCCTTATCTGGAGCCTCATGTGGGCTCACTTTTCTCTTATCTCCAAATCCAAAGCTATCAGACAACTCCTCTTCCTACACCAATTATGGTTTATCGTCATGGTTTTATAAACCCTACATTTGGATTGAGAGATTTGAAATTCTTGAGGTGCTCCTATCAATTTTGAAGTTTTCGCATGACGTATCCTCGAGCCAACCACATGACTATAATGACACAGAATATAAAAGTTTTTGCTGCTCTTGTATGTGAGCTTATTAAAACTCTGTTACTTTGATTTAGAGGTCCTGGTAATGAAACAATATGTTGCTAAACAATATTCAAAATCTGCATTTTTTTTAGTGCGCAGTCATATCCTCTAGTATGAAGGTATGAACGATTGTGGATAGTGTTCCTAATGTACATGTACATCATGTTAATTAGGGGGTCTTGTTTGTTGAACTAAAAGGCTTGCTGCTTTTAGGTTATTATATTTTTGGGATGGCTCTTACATGTGAACCATGATCAGACATAGCATTGGATATGAACTTTGATAATTACTCAGTATATAGGTTCATGATTATCTAAGAAATGGTACTTGTTGTGAACATTTAAAAGGACATAGAAATTGTTTTTTCACTAGCCTCTGTAATTAAGTTTCAATTATACGTTTCCTTTAAATTTTGCCTTCTTATAGGTTGGCCGCTGAGTGTGGGAAAACATGGTTTAATCATTGTAACTTACATGAGCCAAAAAAAAAAAAAAGAAAACTAAATGATGATGTGTCAATCTATTTGATGGGCCAAAATAATCGACTCACCGAGGTTGTCGGTCGAACCGCCTCATCTCGATTGCGTGAGAGTTCAACTGTCTCGATCGCCTTCGTTTTCAAGAACCGGATCGACCTGCAAAGCGCCGGGGCGGGCCCCGACGTAGTCACGACGTAGTCACTCCGACGCTCAAGTCAGAAACAAAGATTTTGATCGTGTATCATAAATAATCTTAAGAGCTTAGAATTAGAAAATGAACCTGGTCCTTTATTTATAAGGAGTTTAATGACTTACTCCTCAAGATAATGAGTTTTCTCAATAAACAAGAATCCTGATACTCCTCAATAATTGTGTAGATATACATCAACTTTCATAAATATATCTAACTAAAACCGTGTATCACATAAATTAGCTCTAATCTTCATTGGACCGGTCTATCCGAGCTAACCGCTCAGGCCGGTCACCCAGTTATTCTTCGTGCTACATCACTATTTATTCACTCTATGAACAGAATTGCTACCATATAGCTCAGGTTTTTGGACACTAGAGTTCTTTCCACTGAGCTTTAAGTAAATAAATTGCTTGATGGTATGAAGATATCTATAGTTATTATCCATATAAACTCTTTAATGGGACTTCCAATTGATATCTTTTTTTGGTTTACATGCAGAAAATGATGTGTTTTCTGTCCCAAGTGATCTGGTGATGATAGAAGTTGAGAGATTTCAAATCATATATTAATCGATTTTACATCCCTCAATCCAAATGTAGCGTTCACGTCAAGCACAAATTCACCATCTAACCTGAGTCATTGACGGGAGGGCGGTTGAGTAGCCAAACATATTGGTGAGAGGTACATGAACAGATAGCCGAATGATTTGATGACAAACAGATAACCCAAGAAATACTAGGATCCACAGATGATATTTGTAATTATAAACAGTATAATTAACCGTTTTCGTCATTAGTTGTTGACAATCAAAACAAAAAATAAAGATTACTTTTAGCCTTTAACACTCATTCACAATAATTAGAACCACAAATTAAAAACTTTTAGTAAAATCAGCAGATGAGGAGCAACTAAAGTAAAAAAGAAAAAAACCTTTTGTCGAATTTCCTTCCTTAATCTCCAAATCCTTCGCAACTAGTACTGATCCCCCGTGTAGAACCATTAGCTCGCTCCGAGCATCTCCGACAGTCACTATAAAATCGTTGTCTACAGTAATATTATATTTCACAGCTCATGCTGATAATGATCGGGAAATCCGGTGGCTGCTATGAAGCACAAATTGCCTCAATTTTTCAATAGACTTTCATACTTCATGTTGTCGCCATAATGATGATCCATGATGTCTCCACATGTATTTTGCACTCGTGAAAATCGAGCGCTTTCCGGCATGTAAGCTAATATTTGCAAAATGGCTCCAGCGACCTTTTTCTTGCAATCTTGCAATCGATGTTCTTTCCCAAAGTATACACGGCTCCTATCAAAGCGGACCGGTTGAGTAATATACTTACCATATATTTATAACCCCCTCGCTGCAGAAGACTTCTATAGTCTGAAAGTAGGTCCATCCTGACCGCTTGAGAATCGGGCAAAACCCATGCATCTCCCTCACGTGGACGTAGCTCGTTCCACTTCTCGCTGTCAAACGGTTTATGCCCAATGAAATACAAGTCTTTGTCCTAAACTTGAGACGTAACTCCTCCGTGTTTTGTGTAACCATTGTCACATCGTGATATGATCCATCAGATGCCAGCTTTTATGCCATGATGGATCATATCACGATGTGACAGTGGTTACACACAGTGATTAAAATAGCGCGCCATGGCGTCGCCATGGCGCGAGGCGAGGCGAGGCGGGGCTTCGACGCCTTATACCCTTGAGGCGAGGCGGCCTTGTGAAAGGCGACGCCATGGCGTCGCCTCAGATGTAGCTTAGCGTAGCACAAGGCGACGCCTTATGAAATTGAGGCGAGATACAAGTTTTTTATACCGAGGGACTTATCAATTAACAAAATTTACTTGCCAAACTACAAAATTACCTTGTGCTTTTTGTTCCACCGGCGACGGCGACCATATTCCGGCAGCTGACCGGCGACGGCGACGTGGAGCGGTATCTGTTCCAGATTTTCCTTTTTGTCTTTTTCTTTTTCCTTTCTTGTTTCAGTCAGCCGAGATGAAAAATGATGAAAAGCTAACAGTGGATCTGGGCTTTTAACATTGTTTTTTCTATTTTTTATTATTTATTTTGTTTGTTTATGAATGTGGACCATTAACTTGTTTTTTTAATGAACCATAGACATTATATTATTATTTTAATTGAAACTTAGTGGGATTGTGGGGGTGGGTTGATGTTTATTTTAATTGGAATCATGTGGGTTTATGATATTTTTATTTGTAGTTTGTTTAATGTTGTTTTTATTTTAATGTGTGGTGTTTTATTGTATATTTATTAGCTATTATAATTTATTTTTATATATATAATTGTGTCATAATTTGGTAAAATGTCAAATGTACATATATTTTAATTTTTTATATATGGCTCGCCTCGCTTTCATAAGGCGGGCGCCTCGCCGCGCGCCTCACGCCATGGCAAATCGGAGCCTTGTCGCCTCGGCTCGCCGCGCGCTATTTTAATCACTGGTTACACAGAACAAGAAGGAGTTACGTCTCAAGTTTAAGACAAAAGACTTGTATTTCATGGGGTATAAAACCGTTAACAGCGAGAAGTGGAACGAGCTACGTCCAAGAGATGCATGAGTTTTGCCCTATTCTCAAGCGGTCAGGATGGACATACTTCCAGACTATAAGAGTCTTCTGCAGCGAGGGGGTTATAAAGATATAGAAAATATATTACTCAGTCGGTCCGCTTTGATAGGAGTCGTGTATACTCTGGGAAAGAACACCGATTGCAAGAAAAAGATCGCTGGAGCCATTTTGCAAATATTAGCTTACATGCCGGAAAGCGCTCGATTTTCACGAGTGCAAAATTCATGTGGAGATGGATCATCATTATGACTACAACATGAAGTATGAAAGACTATTGAAAAATTGGGGCAATTTGTGCTTCATAGCAGCCACCAGATTTCCCGATCACTATCAGCATGAGGTGTTGAAGAAATATAATAATACTATAGACAAATTTTACAGTGACTGTCGGAGAGATTTGGCCGCCAGTGTCGAGAGTGGTCTCGGTCAGGACTTCCAGACGATTGCCGAAACTCACCACACGATTTGCTTATTAAAAGACGAGAGAAAGTTGTAGCACGTTTTAGCTTATAAGTGAAATCATATAAAAATTAACAGTTCACAAAAACTACCCCTGAGGTCTGGAGTATCTATAGATTTGGCATATTTTGAAAATTAGAAACTTCCCTTTTCAGATTGGATTCAGTCTTAAAATTACTGGGAAAAGTGATTATGGAAACCTTTCTACGAAGACCAATGTAAGGGCGAGGTAAAAAAATCATGGGGGTCTATTTGTGATTTTATAACTTCTTTGGGTTCTCTTTTGCAAATACTCAAACCTCAGGGCCAGCCGGCAAGTTAGTCTTTTGTAATTCTCTTGAAATAAATGACAATTGCAGAAACTATCCACGAAATAACTTCAAAATGAGTTTTGTAACCAAGAAAACCACTCGAAGCTTGTATTTTCCCAACAAATATTCCCTCAACCCTTCAAAAAGAGGTAATTTCCAATGGGAAAATCAAATGCCATGCAGGAATTTTGTAATTATGAAAACTAGCCAGCTTCCTGTAAGTAATTACTGACTTAGCTAAGCTGCAAGACAATTTTATGTATTAAAAATCAAAATGTACAGTAATTACTGACTTAGCTTCGCATGGTTGCATGTCAATACACATACGAAGACCCCCTTTAGTCCTATTTGCACCAATCTGGAAGAAAAAATATTCATTTAACCAAAATTAGCTCATTACCTCGAAAGTGTCCTTCCCAACAGAGTCGTATACAACTTCAACGCCGTTACCGGATGTTATCTCGTTGACACGTGTAACAAAATCTTCTTCTTTAAACAATATGACATGGTGGCACCCATCTTCTTTGGATTGATCTGCCTTCTCCTTTTGTAGCACCACGCCTAGACTTACTAAAATCATAGTAAATTTCCGCGCTATAAAGAGAAAACTTTGTTTTAATTTTCGAAAACTCATATTAATTTTTCGAAAATACTTTAACTTTAATATGCGGGATGCTACTCAACTTTAATCTTAAATCTTTAATCTTTAATATCTTTAAACTACTAGGCATGCAATCGAGTATAATTCATTACTCTAAGCATCTCAGGATTTAAGCATGCATAGACTGAAATTCTAGATACTAAAATACTGAGTGCGGAAGCAAATGTAAGCATGCATCAACAAAACATAATAACTCAAACATGCTAAAATATACATGACATGTTTACTAAAAATATCCTTGCTATGACCACCACCACATCATCGACTCACGCTCTACGCTCGACACCGTCACCTGAAAAATGGTTAGTGGGGGGCGTGAGCATAAATAATCCACGTGCTCTGCCGAAACCGGCACTGAAATATACAGCTAATATAATAACATACCATGACATCGGCATATATGCAAGTACATAATGCTTCGGAAGAAAACAATATGATGATGAGCATTTTACTAACAGATTAGGCATTCATCCAATAAGCACTTAAATCGACAAGCTACCTATAGCTGCTACTTAGCTGACTGTCTATAACCGCTGCTCAGCTGACTGTCTATAATTTCTGCTCGACTGGATAACTATAACTGATGCTCAACTGACTAACTATAACTGCAACATCATGAACTAAACTTACATATGATATGATAAGCACATCCCAACCTCAGCATACATCTAATATGATAAATCACATCGCAACCTAAGCATACATCTAATATGATAGAACACATCACAACCTAAGCATAGAACATATCACAAATGCGTATAAATAAGTATATTGTCTATAACTGTTGCTCAACTACTAATTCTAATAGCTGCTCAACTGATTGTATATAATTGCTGCTCAACTGACTGCTTAACAGGTGAGAAGAACACTAGGTCTTCACGCTCACGATAAGCAACTGTAGGACCTAATCTGTAGGTCGCTGCCCATGCTAGGGCAAAACTAACTCTTATGCACTGCTAAGGTTGGAGCTTAACTCACAACTGCACTAGAGTCCTTGATACTACTGGGAATTCGAAACACTTAGTTATGACGAAACCTATCTCTAAATCAAATGTCCCTTAGAGAAGAATTATTCTAAGATCATCTGAAATTAAGCTTAACTCAAGGCTGCTCTAGGGTTCTGAATTCACTTAACTCAAAGCTGCACTATAATTCTTATCTAATCTTAACTAGCGTTCGATTCACCTAGCTAGAAAGGATCTACTTGCTAGATACTTGCCCCTATTCGAGCAGAATCTCACATACATACCTCAATCATGGTATTCCGATTATAGAAGATGTAATACTCAGTACAAGGTCCCCACCTGATATGCTGAAATGCAAGATCTGAATGGTTTGCAGCAGTCGGAGGCTCGACTCTCTACAAGCTACAAAATATATAAGCACAAAATATATTCTAAGTACTTATCTTAAACTGAAAACTGGAATTATATTATCTGAGCTGACTAGGTTCGCTCACTCGTCTTTAAAATCATTTTAGGGATTTACGAGCTGATTTTAAAAATTTATTGTCTTCGAGGCATTCTAGAATTATTTGAAATATTTCTAAGTTTGGAACTAAAATCTGACTTAAATGGAACTAAAATCTAACTTAAATCTGATCTGACTGAAATCTAAACTATATCTGGATCTTTAATCTATCTGGAATCTTAACTTTATCTGGAATCTTAACTATATCTGAAATCTTAAATATATCTGAAATCTTAATCTGACTGAATCTAAAATATATCTCGAACCGTCCGGACTGACCGGACCGGTTCAACTGAACTGGACCGACAACTCACTCGGAATTGGTCGGTCATTCGCTTGACTATGTGCAGCTCGGTTTGACCGTGGTCCGAGTTCGGCGCGGCAACTCAGGCCGGCACGAACTCGACTGACACGGCTTAGCCGATGCACGAGCTTGAAACGGTGTCACGGTCACTGATGCAGGGGCGTGCTTGGACCATGGCTAACGGAACGGCGCGTAGACGGCAAGTCGGATGGACTCGGTGCACGGGCACGCACTCGGCGGTTCGGCTCCAGGTCGGACGAGGGACGGTCACGTGCGCGAGACGACGATACGCATTACGAATTGACGATACGACGGCTAATAATTATTTAGACGGTACTAGAGTTCAATCATTTAAAATCGGATCCCGAAATATACCCGGTTATGGGAACTGGATAAAACTAGGGTTCGATTCTCAAAATTCCTAACTCATTTAAGGCTAATAATTAATATATATATTCTATGTGATTTATAATGATTTTAAAAAAAATATCAACTGCAGCTAAAATCATATCCAGCTAACTTTTCTAAAATATCGACTTAACGACTAAAGTCCCGATTTTATAACTAAGTCAAATGGTATCCTAAATTTATGAACTTCGCATCGTCAGATCCTCAATATATTAATAGTCAACGGTCAACATTATAAGTCAAACAGTAACTCATAATCCAGCCAACTATAAATTACTACGACCGGTCAACGCGTGACCGGCTCGTTTACCTACCAAACCAAGTCAAAAGATTATAAAATTTGAACCTACGCCTCAAAACGTCGCAATGAAATTAATGGTATTTATTTCAGCATTTTATCAAAATTATTTAACGAGGTCCCGAAAATAGCTTTAAACTCGTATGCTCCTTTTTTGTCAAAATCGCTCAAATCACATATCATTTTCTTCTTATCTCATTTATAACAAAGTCTAAGCCATATAAATTGAGTTTTATCGATTATACCTTTAAATGCTCAAAAACGAGCGGATCGGGATAAAACAAGAGTAAATCGGGTTAGAACCGGGTCAAGGAAACCAAAACGGGCCAGATTAGGGGCAGCCCAACCCGAATATGATGCAACCCGATCTATTTTAGTGCTGCTCGGGTCGGACCTAAGGCGCTGGGCGCGGATCCGGTGAAGTGTGGCGCGGAGAAGCTGTTTTCCGGCGTGAACTCGCCGGAATCAGGCCGAAATCAGTCGCGGGTGGCTCGAGCTTGAAGCTGGTCGCCGGTACGGACAAAATGCGTGGGTACAGGCTCGTTGCGAGCTGAAACGCGGCTGTATGGACTGTGGGAGTTGCAGACCGGAGCTCGAGCTTGTGGACAGCGGCGGTCCTTGAGCTGCGCGCGAAATGGGGTCGCCGGAGTGACTGGTGCAGCTGGTCGCGGACGAAGGGCTCGACTGTGGTGTCTCGAGCTGGAATGTCGCGTGAAGTCGAGCTAGAGCTGTGGTGCGCGATGAAGCATGTTTGACTGCGGACAGAGGGCTTGACCGGCGTGAGGGTCGCGGTTTTGGGTCGCCGGCGTGGAGGGCTTGCCGGAAAATGGTAGGGGTGGTCGGATTTTGAGCCATGGAGGTTGAAGATGGAGGTGAGAGAGAGCAGCTGCGGGGATGTGTTTTTTTGGGAGGAAAGAAATAGCTAAGTGTGTTTATTTATATGTGTAAGGTAGCTAGGGTTTCACTTGTATATCGGCCTAAAATCGGGCTTTGGATTTTATTCAATCGGGCTTCAAAAATCTTAAAACCGGGCTAGTAAATTTAATTCGACTTGGACTCCAATTTTAAATTGAATATCGATTAAAGAATTAGATGTTCGGTTAATGAAATTAACTGGACTTGGGCTAATTAAATTAGTCGGTCAAATCTACTAGAATAACTGGGCTTGGATTTAAAAATCGAACATAGGCTCAATTTTTTAAATAGACTAAAATCAAATCGAACACGGGCTCGATTTACTGAAATGTAGTGGGCCGGAATAAAATCGAACATAAGCTCGATTTACTTAAATGGGCTGGCTAGAATAATTGGACTC